TAGCTTGGTCATAGCTTTCCTTCTAAGGAGCAAGTGTCTTCTAATTTCATGACTACAGTCACCATCTGCAGTGATTTTGGAGCCCAAGAAAATGAAGTCTGTCACTGTTTTCATGGTTTCCCCATCTGTTTGCCATGATGTGATGGGACTGGATGACACGATCTTAGTTTTTTAAATGTTGAGTTTTAAGCCAGCTTTTTCACTCTCCTTTCACCCTCTTCAGGAGGCCCTTTAGGTTTTTGCTTTCTGCCATAAGGGTGGTGTCATCTGTATTTTTGAGGTTATTGATAATCTCCCAGCAATATTACTGTATTAGGAGCCAGTAATTTAGAAGCTGCCTCCCACACCTAATATCAAGCTTCACTGATATGTAATTTCAAGTACAAAGGTAATTGCAAGGTATAGGTGAAGCGGGAAAAGGTCTGGGACCTCCATCACTCTCCACAGATGCATTCTTGACTCAGGTTGTGCTCTGGCTCAGATTAACCTCAAAGTCTCTAAGTGATAGATAAGGTTTATCACTTACACAGATAGACCATTGGTGTAGTTATGAAGCTGACCTCAAGAGACCTACCTCTTAAATACCTAGACTGTGAACAAACCTAGCACATCATATTAGCATCTCATATATGAGGCCTCTCATTCTAGCAGATTTACCTTTTTTGTTTCCCAGGAAACTTGTCATTAGTATGTTTATGAGGAGAAGATTCAACTGTATCCCTTGTTTTTTTGGTCAGGATAGCTGCTTCCCTACCCTCTTCTCCTGCACCCCCACAGTGAACAATAGGTTGTGTCTTAGCCATTCACTTCATAACACATAGCTGGATGAATATGAATGAAATCATTTAACCTTTATTGTAGCCTTATGAGAAAAGTCTTTGTACTAGAAAACTTTCTCAGAGATCCTGAGGTAAAAATGTGTCTTAAAGATCACTCAGGAAGAATTGTTGCTTTTGAACTGTGGTATTGGAGAAGACTCTTGAGAGTCCCTTGAACTGCAAGGAGATCCAACCAGTCCATCCTAAAGGAAATTGGTCCTGAATATTCAGTGGAAGGACTGATGCTGTAGCTGAAATTCCAGTACTTTGGCCTCCTAATGTGAAAACTGACTCATTTGAAAAGACCCTGATGCTGGGAAAGATTGAAGTTAGGAGGAGAAGGGAATGACAGGATGAGATGGTTGGATGGCATCACCAACTCAATGGACATGAGTTTGAGTAAACTCCGGGGTTTACTCAAATGGAGGTTGCAAAGAGTCGGACATGACTGAGTGACTGAACTGAACTGAACTGAAGATCACTCTGGGAGTACTGTGACTGGGATTTATACTTGGGTCTTACTGACTCATGGTCTTGCCAGTGTGCCCCAAACTAGCTGTGTTCATTTAATAAAGTCTAATAGCCACTGCTCCCTTGCAGAGCTTCTAGAATGTTCCAAAGTCAGCTTCTGGAACGTTCCAAAGTCAGGTACTTGGAAAAGGAAAGTATATATTTTTATTTGTTTGCTGCCATTTGTGGTCATGAGGATGTCAGGCGAGTATATGCTCCTTGGTTCTGTCTCGTCACAACAAAGATTTGGAGTGACGGACATTAAAGCCCTTGGCGTGTCACAGCTCAGCGCAATGGGGTTGGGGGGTGGGGGTGAGAGCCAGCCCTTTGGCTCCTCTTTTTATATGTTTTTCCTCCCCCTGGGCCTGCCCTATGTAAATTGGGCTGGCCAGGAGTGCTATTTGTTCTACCTGAGGTCCTCACTCTGGTCCTTGGACCTTCCTTTGACCGTCCTTTGTTCTATTTTCGAGGGCTTTTCCCTTCCTTATCTTTTAGCCACCGCCATTCTGGACTCCTGTTTCCTATTCTAACTACCTAACAAGGATAAACTTAAATATATGAATTTACCTTCTTTATTTGGACTGTGAGAGACAAATATCCCATAGCGGATTGAACACTATCCTTAAAAGTCAAGAAATTTAGGTTTAGATATGGCTGTGTCACTTGATAGCTGTGTACCCTTGGACCTTATGTCATCAACATCTCAGTTTCCTTTCTTTACAGTGGGATTTATCATATCTCTCAGGTTCCTGAAAGTATAATTTTCAGTAGTATCAGTACCACTTTCATGAGTTTTCATTTTCTTTGTTTTAACTGATTAAAACTTTAGTCTTTTCTTTTTTTTTTTAATTCTTTCTGGGGAAAGAGTTGACAGTTTAATGAACTCCATAAATTCTTACGCTTAATCAGTTTGCTGGAAGCTTTCCATGCGATGCATGTTAGCTTGGGGTCTTTCCAGTTAATTTTTGGTGAACCTCATTTGTCAAACTATTGAGCATATGTGGTCTACCTGTTTGTATTTCTAAGATCTTAGGCTGCAGATGACTTAGGCTGCAGGATATTTCCCAGTCTTTTTCTTTCCTTTTTGAATCAAGTGTAGGGTCTTTAGATAGTCTGTGACTCAGAGATACCCTTTCCCTGGAATAAGCTCTCCTTTGCACCACGTTGTGCAGGAGGAACAGTTGGACTCTGATTCTTAGAGTCTGTCTGCATCTGCATGGCTGACTGTACTGTTTTCCCTCAGTGACAGGGACTCTTGGGGCCTGTTGCCACAGGTAAGGCCTAGGGACGATAGAAGCAGACGCAGGGAGGGGGCAGAAAAGAAGCACTGTGGAGCAGCAGAGCGTGACCAGCGGTGGCCCCCATTTCTACACCTCTTGATCATGCTTGTATTGTGAATGGTGACTAGTATATTGATACTAGAATTTAGATCCTGAAGGAATAAAGATCATATAATTGAAATTGTAATTTATAAATAAGAAAATACAATATGTAGAGAGAAAATGACTCATTGTTCAAGACTATAAAGCTAATGAATAGTAGGGCTGGGACTTGAAATCAGCTCTCTTGGCTCCAAATTCAGAATTTCATCTGCTAGTGCAACTTGTAGTGGTTTGTTTGCATTTTTCCACCAAATATTTAGTGACCAGCTTTTAGGTACATATGGTGTATGTTAAATATCAAAGGCAAATTCATACATGTCAGTTTAATGGTCAAGAGAATACACTAATATTCGTAGTACTTGGATATGTGTTAAATGAGTTAAAATTATATAACAGGTATAGATTTTTAAAACATTTCAATTTTTTGTTTTTTACTTGTTTTCCTTGTAGTGTGTAGTGGTAAGTTTCCTGATATCAGGTAATCATGATCAGTCTATTGAGGATTCTACTTTGTGGAGGGAATCCTGGTAGAGTTGAAAAAAAATATTGAAAGTTTAAAGTCTCCAATATGTAGTCATCAGCTGCTTATTTATTTGGGCCAACTTCTTGGCCTTTCAGGAACTTTTTATTTGCTTCCTCTATTGGTTGCTTATTTTTAAGATTGGCAAGTCAGTGTAAAATGAAGCTCATCATAAATTCTGAAGAGTTATATAAAAGTAACGTGGTACTAACACTGATGATAAAAATGAGATTTTTGTTGTATTTCAGATGCAGGGCTTTTTTTTGTGTGTGTGTGTGCCTACAATGTTTCTTAAAATAAAGTATCTAAATATATTGAATTTAAAATGTAGGTCTTATGAAGAACATTTATTTCTCTTTATGCATATATTTAGCTTTGGGCCATGGATATTGCTTCAGAAATATAAATGCTAGCTCATGGGTAAATAGGATTATTCTTATAAACATTTTTTAAAAAGAGGGAAATGTTCTTACGCTTTTTTAAAAGCGCTTTTCATTTTGAAATAAAAGCTTACTGGAAAATTTTATGGGTTGGTGTGTGGGAGATAATTTGTGTCTTACATTATTACTGGGAAAAGATGTGTGTGATGTAAAATAGCCAGTGATAATCTTTCTTAAAAGATACTTGCTTTGTGGGATTTGATTTTGGACTTGTTTTCCCTTTGGGAACCTTTTTCTCCTAAATTTCAGTGTTGCAGTCTGCGTTAACCTTACCCTTTCATGTGTGTGTTCTGTTAGGTATAGTTTCAAACGTTTGAATGTGGCCCCTTTGTGACTTGACTTGTGACTCGTCCTCCTAGATTATCCCTGAATGCATGAATGGGTAGATAAGATAGATGTAGGTGGTTAGACTTACTATTTTTGCTTATGAGTCAGTCTGAAGATTGAGATCTTCTTTGGATGCCTTTCTGATATCCTTGAGATTTCCCTTGACCCCTGTTGCTGCAGCTCTGGCCTAGGCTTTGGGAGCCTTTGTATGTTCTCTCCCCATCTCTGAATTTGGATATAGAATGTTAAAAAGAGTTTCTTATCTTTAAGCTTTTTAGAAAATGCTATCTTTCTCCTGTCTTTAGTTCACTCTTGTGTTTGTTATATTTCCTGGTTCCTAATCTTTGGTTCATGCCATTCTTCCTCTTTGGATTATTGTAGCTTTTCCTTTTCTATACGTTTTTTAGGCCCACCTCAGATTTCATTTGCTGTGACATATTTCTCTTTTTCTTTGGCTAACCTTGAGTGTCTTCCTTTCATTTCTGAGTTCTTGGCATTTATTGCCAGTGGCTGTCCTTTCACACTTACTGCTTTACCATTCTGGGGCTGTTTTTTGAATCTCTTGTTTTGTGTGTGTTTGTCTTTTCTGGTAACCATATTTTTAGATCACTGAAGTCAGAGATATTCATCTTGTTTTTGTTCTTCCCAGTTTATACCTGGCACAGAGTTTCTCAGTAAGTAGTTTATTTGATTAAATATAAAAATTTATTTTCCCCTCATATTTATAATACGAACCCTTAAGAGAATGTTTTGAGATTAACTTTTTTGTGTGTCTTTACTAGGAGTTGTAGTACAAAATCACTAGGAGTTGTGAGTAGTAATGAATATTTGAAAAAGATGTTCAAGAGGCCCTAGTTTTCTGCTGTCACAGAAGTTAAAGAACTTGGTATTTCTAATATTTACTAATTTGGTGAACTTGCTTTCTTGTTACCTATTCATCAAGCTGTTAAAATGTGAAATGCAGATTGCATTAATGTGGAAGAGATTTTGTTTTTTTGTTTAGATACAAAGAAGATGGTGAAGCTTTATTAATTTTGCTTCCCTCAGAAGAAAAAGGTATGGTGCAGAAGCTTCTTCAGAAGAAAGTGCCTGTGAAGGAAATCAAGTAAGAATGACTTGCTGTCTTGATGTTATTGTTAGAAAAATGAAGGCATGAAATTATTGTGCCTAATTATGTCCACCTGATTCCCTCCTCCCTCTAATCTTTTCTGCTGTCTGATTTTGGACTTTTTGTTTGTTTTAACAACTCTTTTAGAAAATTATCAGAGGAGAATACAGGATGAAAAACAGACCTTGTTGGCATCAGGAGGCATTGATGGTTGAAAGGATTAAACCTCTTGGATGAACTTATTTTTAGGATTGTTTGTCCTTTTCAGAGGATTGTGCTCTCCTGTCCTCAAAAACGTTTAGATTGAGTGTCAGCAGAATTGGTTGTAGGCTCATTTATATTGTGTTGTATGAAAGGAGAGAAGGTTAGCACTCCCCTTCACTAGGATGGAAGAGCCTCTCGGGCCTGACAACACTCATACGGTTAAGGCATTGCCTTGTGTTTTGGGGGGGCTTCCCTTATAGCTCAGTTGGTAAAGAATCCGCCTGCAATCAGGAGACCCCGGTTCGATTCCTGGGTCGGGAAGATCTGCTGGAGAAGGGATAGGCTACCCACTCCAATATTCTTGGGCTTCCCTGGTGGCTCAGCTGGTAAAGAATCCACCTGCAATGTGGGAGACCTGGGTTCGACCCCTGGATTGGGAAGATCCCCTGCAGAAGGGAAAGGCTACCCACTCCAGTGTTCTGGTCTGGAGATTTCCATGGACCGTACAGTCCATGGGGTCGCAGAGTTGGACACGACTGAGCGACTTTCACTTTCACTTATATTGGGGCCCTTGAAACACCCTGGCTTTATTTGGAGAAAAGTAACTTGAAGGGTGGTTAGATTTGGTGAACGAGTGGGTAAGAGTTTAGATAAAACAAGATCGGGTGTGAGCTCTGTAATTGTTGAGGCTGAGTTTGAGTTTTTTACCTATGTGTATTTTGATATTTTCTATTATTAAAGAAAAACCTCATCTGCTACCACCTGTCACCACTGCAACTTTTCAGGAACAAAATTGTTTAGTCTAAAATCAGGGAAAACAAGTGGGGTTTCCTTATGAAATATAGAATAGATGCTTGTAAGAATTTCATTTTTTTCCATAATTTTCATTCTAAACCTGGCAAATTTAAGTAACAGTTCTGTTATATTATGTCTGATTTCCAGATAAGGAAAACAGTGTTTATATCCTTGAATACTGTTTATTATTTGAATTTGTTTTTTTTTTTTGATATTTGACTGAAAATGGAAATCTTATAAAAAATGACATTTGCTTTCATTTGTTCCGTTTCATTGATGATACACCTCCCATGAGAGGCTGCTTTCTATCTTTAAAGACTTAAGAGGAACATTGCTAATTGTGGTGTTAACCTAATCTTTTACTCAGTATGGGTTGTTTAGAGAAAATGTCTGATTTTATTTTATTTATTTATTTTTGCATTATTTGAAATATACAGAGTCAACTTTAGGTCCAGTGTAATTTCAGTCTAATCTGGGTCGTAGATGAGAAAAGATGTTATGGATTTAAAAAATACTGAGGAAAATAGAAAATAATGTATACTATTTTCACTTTCTAAAATTGAGATGTCTTAGTTTAACTTTTATCTTTTTGTTATAAAAGAATCAATCCAGAAAAACTTATAGATGTTCAGAAAAAATTGGAATCATTTTTAGCTCAAGATCAAGATTTAAAAGAAAGAGCTCAAAGGGTAAGTTATTTTTGAATTGGATACCTTCTTTGGACTAGAGCATGTAATAAAGTTCAATTGTGTCATTTCCTGCTACTTCAGTTATTCAGGTAGTATACTTCCAAGATAGCTTTACCTTATTCTTTAACTTTGAGAAAGTTACATATTTCTTTCTTTCTTTAAAAAAAATTTTTTTGGCCATGCCATCTGACATGCCGGATCTTAGTTCCCCAACCAGGGATTGAATTTATGCCCCTTGTGGTAGAAGCTCACAGTCTTAACCACTGACTGCCAGGGAAGTCCAAAAATTATATATTTCTTATAGTAACTTGGAAAAATGTATATTACTTGTCCATAATTTTGTCAGATATATAGAAAATCCACTTAATGATTATTAAGTATACAAGATAACTTGATAAAGTTATCAACTTGGTTTCTTCAGTAAAGTTGTTATTAACTTTTGACTGTACTCTCTTGACTTTAAAATTAATAGGTTAAATTTCCAGAAAGCATAGCATTCTTGCTAAATTGCCTTTAGAAATGAGGTTTAGTCTATAAAAGTGACGTAATATTCCCAAACTGCTTTTTTGGACTTATAATTCCTCTTGATTAGCAAATACCCAAGGAAATGTCACTTTTAGTTATACTTATTTTTTTGTTCTTAGAGTACCTGGCAGTAGATTCTTTGGAGAAGAAAGATGTGAAATTATTTTGCATTGTGCTTACAGTGGTTTAGTATTTGAATTGACAAATATTTGAATCCCTGTTATGAAACTCTTCATTTACAGCCTTCTTTTACTTATATTTTAGTTATGAGATCTACATAGGAAACTTATATGTGCATTTCCCGTAACACATCAACAGCAGTTAGACAGTAAGTAGGGATTCAGAGATTGGGAAGAAGGAAATAAAGAGGAGGAATGGAAAGGCCATGCTGAATAGGTAGAGGAGCCTGAGCAGAAAAGTCAGGAGTTAGTCTTTTGGGTTAATGGTTTTGAAATTGGATATTCAAAGCAAAGAAGTTTTAAAAGATCTTACACTTAAAAAGTTAACTGGTTATTTTTTATCAAATTATCACTATGCTTAAGATGAAAGTTAAATTCAGATGCTTAGTATGTGATAGCCCCTTAGCCATAGCATGACCCTATATGACAGTTTGATGTGTATTATTATTTAATCTTCCCAATAACCTTTGAGGTAGGTGATAATTGATTTGATTTTGTAGATGGGAAAACAGGAGCTTGAGAAAATTAAAAATTGTCCAGGGTGATGTATCTATTAAGTGATAGACCTAAGATTTAAATCCAGGTCTGACTTTCTTTAGAACTTCCACAATATATCAGAAATTAATTCTAAAATATAAGAGAAAAACATGAAATTCATTCTAAAATATATAAATAAAAAACATTCAAACTTATGTAAGCTCACTTTACCTGAAATCTAATGAAAATAGTCTTTAAACAGATTATTTTTCTTAAAACTTTTGGGCATATATTTGGGCATGGAAACATTTATGTGCATGTTTCATTTACCAGCATACTTTAAGCTTGGAGTTAAATCTTTTAGAAGCTTTGGAAGTAGTATGCACAATTTGAAAATAGTGTACGTGAATTCTGATGTTGTGACTTACTGCATACCTGGTTCATGCAGTTATCAATCAGGAAATATGAAAAACTGAAAGGATGTTGTTTCAGTGGTTTTTGCATACAGCAAATGAACCTTCTAGAACAAGATTATAGAAAAGCACATTGAAATAAATGATGTGATTTATTGGGTGTCATGCATGGTTTAGCAGAATGGTTAACTGTTGGCAGCTGCAGCAAGCTATCTGATTTCACAGAAGTGATTTTCTAGCTTTTGATTATAATCTGGATAGAACAAAAACGATAAGCAACTGGGGTGATTTCTTGTGGGTGATTGTAGGTGGAAGATTATCCTTGAATTATTCATTTTAACGCCTATGGAGACAGGGAAAATGGTTTGGAGATTAATGTAAATGGTTTGAAGAAAGGATTAGTGTAAAGTTAGAAGAAATGTGAAGTTTAGGAAATATAGAAATGGGAATTAAATATACTTTACAAAGCTTAATTTTAAAATAAAAAATAAAACTTCTTTTTGATGTATTTCACCATCTTTGCTGCTTGTTTGTTTTTCAGACTGACAGAGCATTTAGGACCATGTTTACTTTTTAGTTTGCAATGGTTCTTGGCATAAAGATAGTTTACTTTTATTTTAAACACAAACAGAAGAAAATATTGCAAGTTAATGACAAACTGCTTGAAATTATAATGATGAATTACTTGAAATTTCAGTAAAGAATTTATTAAACTTTATAAAAGTTTATCCCTGAACTTTTCCTGTTATGATTTTATTAAGCTTAAGTACAGTAAAATTTTATTTTGTTGTAATAGTTTTATTACAAGGATGTTTTCCAGTAATAATTATTATTAATAACTGGTATTCATTGATATTTAATGTATTTCAGAAGAAACACTCAAGTAGTCTCCATGCATTTTTCTCGTTTAGTTCTCATTACACTCAAAGTAGAAGGTACTTTTATATTGTCTTGATAGATGAGGAAACTGACAGAGAAATAATAAACTTGCTCAGCTTGTAAGATGTGGAACTCAGATTTCAACTGCATTATTCCAAAACCTCTATTTTTTCCCATTAATGTGCCTGCATGATTTTAACTTATAGAATAGCTTTTTGAGAAGTTTATATTTTATGTTCAGTTGGCTTGATGAAACCAAATTTTATAGTCTTTTCTCAGATTACAATTCTAAAGAGGTAGTTTTTTTTTGTTTTTATGGAATGGAGATATACTCAGCTATTTTTGAGAGTTTTCACTACTGTTGAATTTATTCCTTTGATTACTTTCTCTTATCTCAGTTAAAATTCATTTTCCATGTCTGACTGTTATGTCATATACCTCAACCGTTTTTGTTTACAGTGTTTTGTCTCCTACATACGTTCAGTGTATCTGATGAAGGATAAAGAAATATTTGATGTGAGCAAGTTACCTATACCTGACTATGCCCTGTAAGTATTCATATAGTTTTGCTTGTGAGTCCTTAGAGTTAGAGGGCATTCGTTTGAAACCTGGTTCTGAGAATCCTAGTTTAAACCTCTTCATGTTACCTTAAAAGAATCTGTTGAAGATTTGCAGAGAAAAAGACTGTATAAGCTGTAGGGAACTTGTTGACTTTTCAGTTCAGTCAGGAACTTCAATCAGAAAGAAATTTCTTACTTGTGAGTATAAATTCCTAAAACTTAGGCTGGCAGTTTCCTGTAGTTTGGTCTTAAAGGAGATGGAGCGCAGTTGACCGGCATTCTTTGAAATCTTGAAATGTCTTGTTTTCTAAGAAGCTGACCTGGTTTACCACACACGGTTCTTTTCATGCTTTGGATGCGGGTCTCTCGTTGGTCCTTCCCTTATTTTAGTTTGTTGTCCCATGCTGCTTGTTGCCTGGGTATTCTCTGTGTCTTGGTGTTCCTTACAGGTGCTCACAGATACCATGGTAAAACATCTGTCTTTAGTAATTGCTATTGCTGTTATAGGAAAATGGAACTCTTGGTCTTGTTTTGGCTAGTATTTGAAGGATATTTTTCCCCTAATCTTTTCAGGAGCGTCCATTTTTCAATGGGGTTCTACCTGTGGGAAAAGCAGTGACAGAATCCTAGAGAAGCACCCTTGGGGTTACTCATACTTTGAATGTCAGCTTGAAATCTAATCTGGGATGAAATATGTACTTTCACAGCAAAGTCTGTGTATTTGGCCTGCTTTCCAGGAATTTGAGTGCCTTTACCTTTAAGTTGAGTCTAATAAAAGCTTGTATCTGGTTGAGCTGCTATTTTCTGTTCTTCATGTTAGATTGCAAGTTCAGTATAACAGGTAATTTGACAGTTATAACATTTTAGAACCACTTAATTTGCAAGTTAACAAAGTAAGGTCACTGACTTTGTTTAGGTAGTGGATAGCAAATCAGATGCCATGGAAACGTGTTTGTTTATCTCTTTACCAGTTACTAATTTTACAATTTCTGAATATGATTCATAGTTTAGATTATTAGCTGATTTTTTGTCCTTTATGACGTTCTATCCTGGTTTTCTCTTTGACATAGCTGAGATATTAGCAAACAGGAGAGACACGGGTCTTTAATGCTTCCCTACTCCAGGGAATTTTTCTGACCCAGGGATTGAACCCGCATCTCTTAAGTCTCCTGCATTGGCAGGTAATTCTTTACCACTAGTGCCACCTGGGAAGCATGGTACAGCTTAAGTTGGAGTTTTAATTTCTGATGGATACTCAATTTGTGATCCTAACTGTATCCCTATAACAGTAATAATGACAAGTGCTCAGAAGTGGCTGCATACATGCTAGGCACTATTTTAGATGCACTGTATCTATGAGCTCATTTTTACAGCAGTCTCATAATGTAGGTACTCTTGTCATGCCATCTTGCAAATAAGAGAGCTGAGGTATAGAGAGGTTTAATTATGTCCTTGATCACACAGCTAGTAGCTGACAGAGCCAGGGTTTGAACTTCAATAGTTCTGTCTCTGAATCCAGGTTTTACAACTACACCCATCAGTTTCTGTAAATCATGTCTTAGGAAAAAGGCAGTGGATTCATTTTGTAATGTTAGCTTTTTATTAAACGCTTATTTCCAGTGCATCTGTGGGAACTTAGAAGCTTGGAAAGACCTAATCATAAAGTAGTCTTGATCTTAGAAGGAGAAAATAAGATTTTTTTTTTTCTTTTTTTGGTCTCAGGTTTAAATATCCTTTTTTATAGAGGTTATTATGCCATGTTAAATGTCTTAGAAGAGAGGATGATAATACTTGAATTCATTCCTTGCAGAGAACATATGTTCTTTCATGGCCATGTCTTTTCCAGCTTTAATATTATTTATTTTTAATTGGAGTATAAATGCTTCCATTGTTAGTTTCTGCTGTACCAGAATGTGGATCAGCTGTATGTATACATGTGTCTGCTCCCTCTTGAGCCTCCCTCCCACCTCCTCCCTTGAGCTTTTAGTATTTATATTTTTATGTAAATAAAAATATATTTTACAAAGTGTTTTCATATAGTTAGTGCATCAGCTATTTACAACAACTGAGATAGGCCTGGTAGATTTTTTTTTTTTTTTTGGTAGATATTTTTGTCTTGTATTAATATTTGAGAAAGCTGAAGCTGAGAGAGTTATACTGGCAATAGACAGATCTAGTAGTTGTTTTTTTCTGGTCTTATGCTCTTTATTTTGTTACTCATGTTAACCACCTAATGGAAAACAGACATCTCCGATATTTTGTGACAAGTATTCAGTATCTTTTAAAGGATCACCTGACCTGTCAAGGTGGATTTATATCTCAGAAGGACATTTTCTTTTTAAAAAAGCTCTAAAACATCTGAACTCCTGAGGAACCATTTCATAATAAATTCATAAACACAACCATCAGTGTGTTGAGATAACTCTTTTCCTTTGCTCATAACTTAAGGTCTCTTGGTCTTGCTGTGGCACCACGGATAAGATTTCTTCAGAGAATGCAAAAGCAACCCAGCAAGGAACTGGTAGTAAGTGAAGATAATAAAGTAATTGAGCCGAGGGCTCCCTCCCTCACCAATGATGAAGTGGAAGAATTTAGAGCCTACTTCAATGAAAAAATGTCTATTCTTCAGAAAGGTGGGACGAGACCAGAAGGGACAGGTTACAGACCGACTAGTGGCATTAGTGGTAAAGAAGAAGAAGAGAAAGAAGGTGAAGAAGAAATGGACGAGAAACTGAGAAGAGCCCAAGGATCTCCACTTGAGTCTGTCCCTGGCAGTGAAGAGTCACAGAAGAACAGGGAAGCTGCTGTGCCGTTCTTGGGCAGAGATGACGAGGAGGAGGACGACGGCCTCGAGACTGACTTCTTTAAAGTGAAGCGGCACAACGTGTTTGGGTTGGATCTTAAGGAGAATAAGACACTGCAGGTAAGTTTACCTCCAATGGAGGATTGGGGGTCAGGGGGCGCTTTTATTTCCTTACCACTCTTATGATGTGCTGCTTTTTGCCTTTGAGGAAGTATGGGAAAGTAACCCCGCAGAAATTTGTAGAATGACTTAATTTGCTGTAAACTCTCCCATCTACATCTTTAGAGATGGAATAGGTGCCAAAGAATTCTCATGTTTCATAATTTTGGGAACTCTTGAGATTGACAGCTGTAATCTTCTCATTTATTGGCTTTCTGATGCATATTTTAAAAGTAGCCAGAGTCATGATTATAATATTAAGTAAGATGATAGGGTTCTGTGGTTTATGATGTGAGGCTCCTTCATTGTGATTCTTAACATAGTACTTTCCGATTTAAATAATTACAAATATCCCTTAAAACAATTCAGTCTCTCTAAACTTTTAATGAAACATTTCGTTTTGGGCACCAATCCATAATTTGAAATAGGAAGCCAGCAGTTCTATTTAAAGACCACTTATGAAGGTTTATTAAAAGTTTCATGTTTCTCACTAGGCACCTGCTAGGAGGAATAAAAGAGATAATCCAGGTAAAGCACCTGTTTCCTGGGACACTTGAATGTGCACAGTAAATATGTTTCTCTGCCCTTCCCTTATTTTTCTTTTAAGTTTGTAATCCTTACCCTGGATCATTTCTTTAGACAGCATTTGAATGAAGAGTGAACCTGAACTCTCACTCTTGATACATTGCTGAGATTCACAATAGGGAACACTAACTTTTGAACTGTGAAACTTGGATAGGTGTTTTTTTTAAGTAACTAAATGGCAATTTAAAAAGTAGCAAACATGCTTACTGAGTATTTAATATGTATCAGGCATTTTCTAAGCATTATCTCATATGGTCCTTGTTTAATCCCTCTGAAGTAGGTACTCTATCATTATACAAGTAAGAGGAAAAAACTGAGATATAGAGATAGTAAAATAGTGAGATGCATACTTATTGGCAACTTATTGGCAAAGTTGGAGTTTGAATGTAGGTATTCTGACTCTAGTATTCATGTCTTGAGCAATAATCTGATTTTTGAAGTTTGATTTAAATTTTCACTTATGTTTTCTTTTGGATGTTCTATAGTTTTAGCAGTTGAATATAGGGCTACATTCATTTCAGTTTAATTTTTGTATCTGGTGTGAGGGAAGAGCTGAGGTTCCAAGTGCTTCCTCCTTGCTAGGCAGTTGTCTCGTTGAACCAGAACTCTTTTTGAAGTCACTGCACTTTTTCCATTCTACTTACCTTGACTCTGTGTTGAAAATTGGTTGACCATGTCTGTGTACGTCTGTGTGTTGACTCACTTAGGCTCCATACAGCTGTCCTTTCAGCAGTAGCACCATTGTCAGTTAGTACAGCTTTATAGGAAGTCTCAGATCAGTACCAGTCTTCAAACTTCATATTTTAAAAATTTATTTTGGCTGTTTTTTAGACCATTGCATTTCCATGTAAGTTTTTGAATCAGCTAGTAAGATTTTACAAAAAGTCTTATAGTATTTTCATTGAGATTACATTGAATCTAGAAATCCATTTGGGGAGAATTGACATCTTAGCAGTACTGACTCTTCTGATTCATGAATATGACATATCTTTCCATTTATTTAGGCCCTCTTTAGTGTCTTTTAGCATTTTAAAATTATTTTAAGCATGTGCATATTCTGTTAGATTCTGTTAGATTCATCTCTTACTATTTTATTTTCAATGCTATCATAAATGATACTTTAAAAATTTCAGTTTCCATTTTATGTTGCTAGAATATAGAAGTACAGTTTTTATATACTGCTCATTCTAAACTGTCCTATTAAGTTATTGTGGCTGTTTTTGGAGATTCTTTGGATTTCTTTTGGATTTTCATTTTCTCTGTAGCTGGTCATGGTATTTGTGAATAAAGATGGTTTCATTTCTTCCTTTCCTATCTGTATGTCATTATTACATTTTCTTGTTTGATTACACTGCATGTTGAATAGCAGTGAGAATGGGCATCATTATCTTGTGCTTAGTGAGGGAAAACATTCAGTCCTTTACCATTACATCTGATGTTACCCATAGGTTTTTTTGTAAATGCTTTTAACGGGTTGAGAAAGTTCATTCTATTTCTGGCTGATTTAGTGTTTTTATTAGAAATGGATGATGAATTTTGTCAGATGCTTTTTATGCAACATTAGTGTGAACATAGAATTGTTGTTATTTACTCTGTTGGCCAAGAGAATGCACTGGTCATAGCAAACACCCTCTTCCAACAACACAAGAGACAGCCCTACACATGGACATCATCAGATGGTCAATACCAAAATCAAATTGACTGTATTTTTTGCAGTCGAAGATGGATAAGGTCTATACAGTCAGCAAAATCAAGACCAGGAGCTGACTGTAGGTCAGATCATGAACTCCTTATTGCAAAATTCAGACTTAAATTGAAGAAAGTAGGGAAAACCCCTAGACAATTCAGGTATGACCTAAATCAAATCCCTTACGATTATACAGTGGAAGTAACAAATAGATTCAAGGGATTAGATGGTAGAGTGCCTGAAGAACTATGGAATGGAGGTTCATAACATTGTACAGGAGGTGGTGATCAGAACCATCCCCAAGAAAAATAAATGCAATAAGGCAAAATGGCAGTCTGAGGAGGCCTTACAAATAGCTGAGAAAAGAAGAGAAGTGAAAATCAAAGGAGAAAAGGAATGATATACCCATCTGAATGCAGAGTTCTAAAGAATAGTAAGTAAAAATAAGAAAGCCTTCCTAAGTGAACAATGCAAAGAAATAGAGGAAAACAATAAAATGAGAAAGACTGGAGATCTCTTCAAGAAAATTAGAGATAAGGGAATATTTCATGCAAAGATGGGCACAATAAAGAACAGAAACAGTATGAACCCATCAGAAGCAGAAGATATTAAGGATAGGTGGCAAGAATACACAGAATGACTATACAAAAAAAAAGATCTTAATGACCCAGATAACCATGATGGTGTGATCAGTTCACCTAGAGCCAGACATCTTAAGAGTGTGAAGTCAAGTGGGTCTTGATTTATTCCAACATGTGGGAGCTGGGATTTTTCTGACTCCTGTCCCGACTCCTTTCCCCTTTCTCTTCCTCCTTGCCTTCTTTGTTCTTTCCTCCTGGCAGTGATTACTGAGGGCCTACGAGATGCCAGGGGCTGAGCTAGGTTCTTAGTAAGTTTCAGAGGCTTATACTTAAACAGATTACTAAACTGAAATTTCAGTACAAGTTTTGGGTTTCTGTTCATTATTGATTCTTGAAACCAAATATTTTAAAATGTTAACCTTGGCACTGCAGTAGAGAAGGCATCAATGAGGGAAGTTGAGCCTTAAAGGATGGATATGAGTTTAACATATTGTCCTAGAGGTCTCTGAGACTGTCCTCAGTTCTTTTTGTTCTTTTTACTTTATTCTGCTCTTCAGCAGTTATTTCCACCATTTTATCTTCCAGCTCACTAATCTGTTCTTCTGCTATTGCTAGAGCCTATTATACAGAATGAAGTAAGTCAGAAAGAGAAAGACAAATATTGTATACTAACACATATATATGGAATCTAGAAAGATGGTACTGAGAATTTATTTGCAGGGCAGCCGTGGAGAAACAGACATAGGGAACAAACTCTGCACTTCGGGAGAGGGGAGGAGAGGGTGAGATATATGGAGAGAATAAGATGGAAACTTACATTACCATTTGTAAAATAGATAGCCAACGGGAATTTGCTGCATGACTCAGGAAACGAAAACAGGGGCTCTGTATCAACCTAGAGGGTGGGGTGGGGAGGGAGATGGGAGGGAGGTTCAACAGGGAGGGGACATATGCATACCTATGACTGATTCATATTGAGGATTGACAGAAAACAACAAAATTCTGTAAAGCAATTATCCTTCAATTAAAAAATAAATTAAAAAAAAAAGAATGGATATGAGTTAATAGGAAGGGGAAAAAGAACATTCAAAGCAGAGAGTACAGAATGAGCAAAACCATGGCCACAAGAAGGTGTGTTGAATGTGGGGAGCTATTTCTGATACGGTGTTCAGTTTCAGTACTGAGGCTTAGTGTCCATTTCTGTAAAATTACTCCCTGTCAGAGTTATTGAGATGCCTAGAGATAGAAAGTATCCAGTACAGTTTGTGTGTGTAGAAGAAGCATAGTTTAAGTTAGCTGTTATTTCTGCTTGATGAAATATAATAGGAAGATAAAAGTAAAGAGTTGATAGAGGTTTGCCAGTGCAGTGGCTAGGCAGTATTTGAGGTAGTACTGAAAATAAAACTTTTTTTGAATCTGGACACATTATAGAAAGAAAAAGTGATGCATTTAATTTATTCTAGGTATAATAGTATCAGAAAATAAGACTACTTTTTTGATTTTAGCATAGTTGGTAGACCAGTTTTCACATTTTCAGTGTCCTGCATTGATCTGGACAGTCCTAAGCTGTATTCTGATACCACAGGTCCAGCTGATGTTTTAGCCAGATATTTAAGGAGTTTATAATTTGGTATATTTAGACTGTAACTAGGCAAATACAGTGCCCTTTAGAAATGAATCATTTGATTATAAATAAAACTAAAAATGATGTTGATAGTAGCTATATTATGTGGAGTCATTAAATGAAATTCATAATTATATGAATATTTTTCTGGCTGCAGTTCTCTGTCCAGTTAACTGGCAGTGTTCTTGTGGATATTAATACTGTACAGTATACCTCTCAAAAATATTATATAGAAGATATTAGGTTATGGATATTGTTTATATGTTTTAAGACTGTTGATTTAAAAATGGACATTTTTTTTTTCATTTATTTTTATTAGTTGGAGGCTAATTACTTTACAACATTGCAGTGGTTTTTGTCATACATCGAAATGAATTAGCCATGGATTTACATGTATTCCCCATCCCGGTCCCCCCTCCCACCTCCCTCTCCGCCCTATCCCTCTGGGTCTTCCCAGTGCACCAGGCCCGAGCACTTGTCTCAT